ACATGACACAGGCAGGAATGGCTGGTACCCTACTGTGCGCTAGTCTTGCCTACAGCGTAAGGCCAGCCGCAGGGGGACTGCAGCGGGACGGCAGTGAGACAGCAGGCCCGAGTCTGGTTGGGCCAACTCTGTGATCCTGAGCAGTTTACTCAGCAGCTTTAAACTCCATCTAACAATGACCCCTGCTGCCCTGCCGGCCTGGCTCAGGGGTTGAGCATCGATCTAGGAACCAGGCGGTCACAGTTCAATTCTAGTCAAAGGCGTGCCCATACGCGAACCTGGGTTGCAGGCTTGATCCCCAGTGTGGGGTGTGCAGGAGGCAGCCAATCCATGATTCTCTCATTGATGTTTCTATCTCTCTGTCCCTCTCTCTTCCTCTCTGAAATTAATAATAATATATATTAAAAAAAAAAAAAAAAAAAAACACCTTAAAAATGATCCCAGCCCTGTGGCCTAACACGGCTGCTGGGAAGCCCAGCGGACCCTGGCAGAGGAAGGCTGTCTGACCTGGAGGGGCTGGCACAGGCGGCCACGGCAGTGCAGAGCGGGCGGCTCCCTCGTGGGGAGCCCTCACACCCCTCTCCTGGCAGTGGCCGGCGCAGACGCTGGGCTTGTCTTTGTTGTTCTTATTCTGGCCAGGGGCAGGGGGAGGGAGTGTTGAGAGGGAAACCTGCCAGGCGTCTGGGCCTCAGTGCCCGGTCCCTGCCAGAGGCCGGAGGACACGGCCGCTCGGGAGCTCCTTCCATGGGGAGGGAAGCTGGACTTGACCCTGAGGTGCAGGCCCGGCATTCTCTGAGTCTCGTCCTTCCCCCCTGGCAGGGCTCCGTTCCAAACGAAGACCAGGATTCCAGCAGAACTGGGCAACTTCAAGAAAACCCGCTTCTGGAAACTCCCGGAAGCCAAGCCTCAGACAGAGAACTTGTTCTTCCCCCGAATAAAGGCCAAGAAAACGAGCACTGCCCGTACCTACCCGGCCGCACGCCCCTGCCCAACGGGCAGGCAGGCCCCGGAGGCTGCACCGCCCCAGGAGGCAGCGGCACGCGGCCTGGCACCGGCCCGGCGCCCGCAGTGTGCGTTGCCTGGTGCCCGTACGCGAACCTGTGTGTGATCGCCCCCTCAGCCCTTTCCCGGGCCTGGCCAAGGGCCCGGTCTGCTGTGTGGCCCCTGCTTTCCGAGTCCAGGCCGGTCCCGAGAGGCGCCCCATCCTCGGCTCAGTATGGAGGCGCTCCCTGCGGGCTCTGTGCTGAGTGTGCGGTCGGAGACACGAACCGCACACAGCCCCGCACACAGGCGGTTTCTGGGGGACCGCCCTAGACACAGAGCGTGGGGTCGTGGCTATGAGCAGACTGCCCTCCGTGTCATGGGCTGGAGGAGGTTCTCTGGAGGTGGACTCATGGAGCCGGCGGCCCTGTTCCCATGGACCCCTGACCCCCGCTGTCTCCATGGTGGCTCCCTTCGTCCCTCTGCTCAGCGCCAAGGCCGGGCCTCAGCGACCTTTGCTGACCCCGTGCCCATCAGGTGATTTTCTCCTTTCTGGGACCACCTGCCACTGTAAGGGTCTCGTGTCCTTGCTTACTGGCTATCCATCCTCTCCCCTACCCCCACATAATCTACTTGAGGTGGAGACTGGGGAGCAGGGGAGGGCAGGGCATTTTAAGGGAACAGAGTGAGCAGAGGCCGGGGAGTGTTGGGCGTGGCCAGGACTGACAGCATTTCGTCAGCATTGGATCCAAAAGTGTAAACCAGAACTGATGGGCAAGGTGGTGGCACAGAGACCAACGAGGGAGGTCCGAGCTCAGAGGCTCTGCGGGAAGAGGTGATGTGGGCACGTCAGAGCCGTGGCTAGCAGGACCGTTCGGAGGCCAGCCTGATGCTCCGTGCTGGCTCAGGCCCCCAGTCCGTGCCACAAAGCACCTAACGCTCCCTCTGCAGTTCTCCTGTTTCTGCTGTAGGACCAGGTCTCTGCTGCTGGGCTAAGGTCGGGCACACAATGGGTGCTCAGGCCCTGGTGGCCAGGCCCCTCCCTGCCTCAGCCGTGTTCCCCAGGGACGCAGTGGAGAACCCGTTCATAGGAACAGGCACCCTTAGCCGTGAAAAACGGCCCAGCCCCGCAGCTTCCACCCGCACTGCGCCGCTCAGAGCCTCTGTCCCCAGACCCGCCTCCGGCTGAGCTTTCCGGCTCTTTGCTTTGGAAGGAAACGTATTTTCAGCCCGAGGTCACCCCATGGCAATCAGGGGAGATAAAGCGTAAAGAATAAGAGCTGACCAGCAGGTGGGGCAAAACCGGGTGCTGCCAGATCCCTGCACCCTGCCCTCCAGACAGAGGAGCAGACCCTGTTCCTTGGAGCGTGCGGTGACCTGCGCTTTCCAATCCAGTAGGGGAGAGGGCATGATCCAGGCACCATTGTGCCTCTAACCCGGGGCATGTGCCCAGGCACCCATGAGCCCAGACACCCATGCGTCTCCCTGGCACCCGTGAGCCCCACTGGCACCATTGAGCCCAGACACCCATGGGTCTGTCTCCCTGGCACCCAGGAGCCTTATTGGCACCAATGAGCCCAGACACCCATGCGTCTCCCTGGCACCAATGAGCCCAGACACCCATGGGTCTGTCTCCCTGGCACCCAGGAGCCTTATTGGCACCAATGAGCCCAGACACCCATGGGTCTGTCTCCCTGGCACCCAGGAGTCCAGACACCCATGGGCCTGTCTCCCTGGCACCCAGGAGCCTTATTGGCACCAATGAGCCCAGACACCCATGGGCCTCCCTGGCACCCGTGAGCGCACTGGCACCGTGGGGCCTCCATTAGCCTCCGGCCTGCACGGGAAGGCCGAGGGGCAGGCTGGTGGCTCCCGGGAAGGCCCGGGAGGTTGAAGAGAACGTGCTGGTTCTCTGTCTGATGGTAAAGATGTGGGCCATTTGGGCCGTGGAGAGCAGAGGGAAGAAAAAGCCGCCCCAGCTCCGCCTCTTGCCCTTCCCCGCCTCCATCCTGTGAGCCGACTCCCCACCTGCGTCAGCTCGGCCCGCTGCCTGTCCCAGCTGTGCCCTGGCACCCAGGAGAGCAAAGCCACAGGGCGCCAAGGCCCCGCTTCCACTGACCCCGGACCCCGGCTGTGTCAGTGGTCAGCCCCAAGGCTGGTCCTCGGATACTTCTCCTGACCCCTGACCCCATCCCAGGCCCTCCCCTCCCCCCAGTTGACTTTCTCCTTCTGGAGCCTCTGCCACTGTAATGATCTCGTGTCCTTGTTTGCTGTCTGTCCATCCCCTAGCTCCTCAGCAGTCTGCCTGCGGGGAGACTCGCCTGCCTCAGGAGCGGGGCTCAGGGCCCGATGGGCTCACCATCCACTCCGGGCTGTCAGTGAGCGAGGAGGCCGGCCTGCTGCCCGCGGTTCAGCGGAATAAACAGCCATGAACCGCCCAGCTTAACGCTCAGTGAAGCCTGGCGTCCTCCCCGCCCCGGGGAACATCCCCTGTATAAGCCATGTGAGTGCGTGTGCGTGTGTGAGTGTGAGTGTGTGAGTGCATGTGTGTGAGTGTGTGAGTGTGTATGTGAGTGTGTGAGTGTGTGTGTGTGAGTGTGTGTGTGAGTGTGTGTGAGTGTGTGTGTATGTGTGTGTGTGAGTGTGTGTGTGAGTGCGTGCGTGTGTGAGTGTGTGTGTGTGAGTGCGTGTGTGTGTGTATGAGTGTGAGTGTGTGTGCGTGTGTGTATGAGTGTGAGTGTGTGTGTGTAAGTGTGTGTGTGTGAGTGCGTGTGTGTGTATGAGAGTGAGTGTGTGTGTGTGAGTGCATGTGCGTGTGTGAGTGTGTGTGTGAGTGTGAGTGCGTGTGTGTGTGTGTGAGAGTGTGTGTGAGTGTGTGTGTGAGTGTGAGTGCGTGTGTGTGTGTGTGTGTGTGTATGAGTGTGTGTGTGTGAGTGTGAGTGTGTGAGAGTGTGTGTTTGTGTGTGTGAGTGTGAGTGTGTGTGTGTGTGTGAGTGCGTGTGTGTGTGTGTGAGTGTGAGAGTGTGTGTGAGTGTGTGTGAGTGTGAGTGCGTGTGTGTGTATGAGTGTGTGTGTGTGAGTGTGAGTGTGTGAGAGTGTGTGTTTGTGTGTGTGTGAGTGTGAGTGTGTGTGCCCATGCGCATGCTCGGGAAAGGGTCACTGGCCCTCCTGCCCCCAACTCACTCCCAGCCGCGGGCAAATTCCAGGCTCCAGACAGCCGCCTTCGCCTGTAACCCAATGAAGGCGGCCTGAGTGCTGAGAGCCCCAAACCGGATAAGACCCTGGGGCTCAGCCTTAAAGAAGCACAGCAACAGGAGGGCCAGGCCGGCACTCAGCCCCGGAGCGGCCAGGACTGCCCCAGGCACCCCGCAGCCCCGCGTCACCGCTTCTCCCTCCCCCAGACCCAGGCCCTGCCTGCCTGGCTGCCCCGGAAAGGTCCCCCAAATGCAAACCAGGAGGGTCCTCTGGCCATGCTCCCCCCACGACCCTGATCTGGAGATAGAGGAGCGCCTCCCCCACCCCATTCCCACACTCTTCACCCCTCCCGGGCCCCTCCCCGGGCCCCTCCCCAGGTGAGCCCCCCTCCCGGTGCCCGGTGACCTGCGGGGCGGGCGGGGGGTCAGCGCGGGCCGGCCGGAGGGCGCGGGGTGGCAGGGGCCCAGGCCCGCGGGCTCGGCGCTCCCCGCGCCTGCGTCACCGGCCCCCCGCCCCCTGAGATCACAATCCAGGGGCCGGGACCCCGCGCCGCCCGCCGCCCCGCCTGCCACCCAACAATCCCGCGACACACACACCGGGCGAGGACGCCCCCGCCGGCTCCACCTCCGCGCCGCCAGCCCCCCGGGGCCCCCGCCCCGCATGGCGGAGTGAGCGCGACCAGGGCGCCCGCACCGCCCGCGCCCGCCCGCTGCCCGCCCGCCCGCGGCGGGGGCGGCCCCAGCCCCGCCCCGCCCGCCGCTCCGCTCCGCTCCGGCGCCTCCGGTGCGCGCCGCCCGCCGCTCCCCGCGCCCGCGCCCGCGCCCATGGCCGCCCCGGAGTGGGACTGGTTCCAGCGCGAGGGGCTCATCGGGCAGATCAGCGACATCCGCGTCCAGAACCTGCAAGGTGAGCGCGGCCCCCGCCCCGGGGCGCTGGGCCCCGGTTCCCGCCGCCCCCGCCCGGTTCCCGCCGCCCTCGCCGGTTCCCGCCGCCCCCGCCGGTTCCCGCGGCCCCGCGCCCCGCCGCCCTGACCCGGCGCCCGCCCCGCTGGGCGGAGGGGAGCAGCGCCCGCCCCAAACCAGCATCGCCGGCCCGGGGGCGGGGCGGCCCACGTGCGTGTGTTTGTTGTTGGGGGGGGGGTCCCCCTTTTCCTCTGCGGGGCGTCGCGAGCCCCCTCCGGCCGCCGCGGGGAGTTCGGAGAAGTTTGCGGGGCGCGGGGCGGCTGGTCAGCGGGGCGGGGCGCGCGCCCCCGTGTGAACTCCCTCCCCCGAGGGGCGCCGGGCCGGGGAGGAGCAGGGGCCGGGGCCGGGGAGGAGCAGGGTCCGGGTCCGGGGAGGAGCAGGGTCCGGGTCCGGGGAGGAGCAGGGGCCGGGGCCGGGGCCGGGGAGGAGCAGGGGCCGGGGCCGGGGAGGAGCAGGGTCCGGGGCCGGGGAGGAGCAGGGGCCGGGGCCGGGGAGGAGCAGGGGCCGGGACCGGGGAGGAGCAGGGGCCGGGCCGATCTGGGGGTTCAGATCGCCCGGGCCGGAGCCGCCCCTCCCCCGGCCCCGCGCTGGGCTCCGGAGGGCGAGAGGCCCCGCCTCCGGGGGCCGGACCGCGTGCCCCTCCGAAGGGGCGTCCTCCGAGGAAGGGGGTGAAGGAGAACCCGGGTGGCAGCGCCTCGGAGCGGCCTCGGGGGAGGCTTGTCTGCCCTTCAGAGGAGTGTGTTCCCTGGAAACTGAGCACAAAACAGGGAAAAGTCACCCACATTCACCTCCCAACCACCGCTCCGCAAAGCTGCTGTGCCTGGAGGCGCATTTCCAACTTCTCTCTCTCTCTCTCTCTCTCTCTCTCTCTCTCTCTCTCTCTCTCTCTCTCTCTCTCTCTCATGTGAACTTCGCAGAACTGGACAGAGTTCCACTTCCGGCCTCTCTGGGTGCACATGGACCTGGGCAGAGGGAGGTGCTTGAGTCGGTTCCCCCGCAGACTTGGGGTTTCAGGGATTCCACGGCTGGAGGTGGCTCAGAGGAAGTGGGGAGGCGGGGACCCAGAGTTTGGGGGCGGCTGTTGCCCCTTACCCCAGCAGGAGGCATGACTTTATGGCTTGGGGGCGGGGCGGGGAGCCCCAGCTGGGGGTGGCTGGGCTGGGCAGTCAAGTTTAAACATTACACCAGAGGAATGTTTCCGGGGCCCTAGGTTGGGCAAGGACAGCAGCGGGCAGAGGTGACCCGGAGCGGGAGGGAGCCGGCCAGTGGGAAGGGTTTGCTCTGAGCTCCCGGTCCCTCTGGCTGTGGGCTGTGATGTGTGTAAAGAAGGATCGGCTGGAGATGCTGAAAATGATTCCTTTAGATAATGAGCCGCTGGCCTGGATCCTGCTGCCGCAGAGCCGGTGTCCTATTCAGTGGGCTGGCGTTACTATCTCTGAGATGGCATCTGGTTTGGGCTGTCAAGGTGTGTGGGTGGGTGTTTAGTAAACACCTTCTGATCGATCCTTGGAGCAGCTTCCTGCATTCCTCCAGGATCAGCTCCGGGGTGAGGGACGTTCAACAATGTGAGCAGTCAGGTACACCTGGAACTGTGAGCGAAGGCTTTGCCAAATGGGGATAATTTAATATGGGTCCTGATGGTTGGGTAGGAGTTCCCTGAGTGGGCTCCTGTCTCTCAGTTCCCAGTGAACTGTCCTCACTTTTAGGCAATGCCAGTTACAATTTGAGCATCCAAACCTTTGCCATTAAAAAATAATAAACTTTTAAACTTATATTGATACTTTATACACATCTAATATATGACTAGTGTCCTTGTGCATGGATTTGTGTACATGGAAAGGAAGTTAATTAGAAGAATTATTTTAAGATCACTATTTGCCCTTTGTCAGTAATAGAAGTGTCAACCAAATTCACGATGAATAACATATCAAAACACACGTGTTCGATTGGTGCCAGCGAGAGCTTTATATGTATCCTGCATGTTCAAGACAACTTAGCCTTTTATATGTATAGATAAACTTGCTTAATTAGATCTGCTTTCTAATTTAGCTAAACTTTTCCATCCCAGTGAAGCACCCCAACTTCTCTTTCAGGTAATTTTCTGCAACACAGAGTAAATATCAACACAAAGCAGATTATTATTGTAGATCACGCAGGGAGAACAAGGGGTAAAATATTTAACTGCAGCAGTGTTTGACTATATTCTATATAGTGAGAAAGCCTGAAGTCATTTTCAAGGTCCACCATTTCTTACTTCTCTTCAGTCAGGCCAAGTTTTTAAATTTTCTAAATCTCCAGTTTTCTGGGTAATGAAAAGGACATAGAATTTTAACTGAGAGTCTACCTACTCCAGGAATCAAATGAGAATGAGGCACGGGAAAACACTTCACAAACATTTGGTTAAACTGTAAAATGTTTGCACCTGGCTGTAAAACAAGTTGTGTTCCTGGGGTGGAGAAACTGCAAGGAGGCTAGACTCTAGGGAGAGGAAGCTGGGCGTTGCTATGTGACATCATTACCCAGTGCCCACAGCGACCGTTTCTGGGCTGGGCTGGGCTGTGGGCTGCATTTTGCACCATGGGGTCTCATCAGCTGTGATTTGTGGGGTGTCGTTCTGGGATGGTAGCGGGGCCTGTGTCCCACTTGGGGAAGCCTAGTATTGGTTTGTCCCCGCCAGGTCATGGTGCTGTTAATTTTTAAATGGCCAGTGCGCCTCATGGCAGCTCCTGCGTCGAGGGTCTGCCCCCTGGTGGTCAGTGCGCATCATAGCTACTGGTCAGAGGGAAGGGCAGACACTTAGCCTTTTATCTACATAGACTACCTATATTTGTATAAAATGCATTAACCTTAAGGCTGAGCCCGACAAACTTCTACATATGGATACACCACCCCCAGATCCAGATGCAGGAGAGTTCCACCATCCTGGGTGGAGCCTCCTCGCCCTCCCCAGTCTGTAGCAATCCCAAACGCACACAGGGCAGCACTGCTCTGATCTCACTATTATTGCTTTGCCTCTGGAACTTCCTATTCCATTGGGCTGGACAGTGGGTGCTCTTTGATGCCGGCCTTCCCGTTCCCCGTTCTGTTGGAGCAATGGGTCCACTTGCTGGCTTGTTTGGGAGGGGGAGATTGTGGAACTACTTTGCTGAGGTGTGATGCACACATCATAACACGCACCTGTTCTAAGTTTACGTTTCAGTAATGTCTAGGGACTCTGCATCCAGCTTGGGCACAGTTTCATTCCTGCTGGTGCCCAGCGTACGCGTCAGTCCCGCTCCCAGCCCTGGAGGCAGCGCGCAGGTCCTGCTGCTGTTGCTGAGGACCGGTCCACCGTGTGCACAGCCATCGGTGGGGGGCATTCGGGCTGCCTGCAGTTCGGGCTCCTGCGAGGGAAAGAAGCTGTCAGTCCCGGGCACCCAGGGTTGCCGCTCTGCCCATCACCCTGAGAAGCGGCTGGGAGAGGGGTGGCAGCAGGGATCTGTCTTCTCTCCAGCTCTGTTTTCCCCTGGGCCTCCCTGTCTCTTGATGGGGTGTTAGCAGACAGGTTCTCTCCTTATCTCGGTGGTACTCAGGAACTCCCAGCCAAAGGGCCACGCCCAGAAGGCACCCACGCCGTGCCTAGAGCGTCTGCCCAGACCAGCTGCTGGGTGTCAGCAGGTGCTGGATGGTCCGGTGAGCGGTGGGCGTGGCCGTGGGTGGGAGTCGCCCGGGAGCGAGTCCAGGCAGGAGGGTGTCTGTCTTGTAAGCTGTGTTGCTTGGAGCACCGGTGGTCGCAGTTGTCATGGTGATGGGAAGGTGGGCACAGAGGGAGTTCATGAGCCTGTAATCAGAGGGCCTCCATGTGCCGGCAGTAGCTGCTGTCCTGGCCAGACAATCCTGCTTCTTTTCAGAAAGCCTCACTCGCCCATCCGGGGACCAGCTACTGCAGGGGCAGGCATGGGGACCTTGCATGTCAAGAAAAATGGTTCAGGAATACACGGACATCTTTACCTCTTTCTCTTTTTAAAAAAATGTATATTTTATTGATTTCAGAGAGGGAGAGAGAGAGAGAGAAACATCCATGATGAGGGAGAATCATGGATCGGCTGCCTCCTGCGCGCCCCCTGCTGGTGACTGAGACCATAACCCAGACATGTGCCCTGATTGGAAATCAAACCGAGACCTCCTGGTTTGTTGGTTGACGCTCAATCATGGAGCCAAGCCGGCTGGGCCACCTCTTCCTCCGTAGCTGTATATTTACCTTAACGTGGAGGCACGCTGACCTCTGCTTAATCAATCATCTGGATTGTTTTCTACGCCCTGAGCTGTGCCGTTCTGCCATCCACGTGGGTACGGTTGTGGCATCGCCAGATCACCCCCGGGGAGCGGGGTGGAAGGAAGGGGAGCCGGGCAGAGAGTGTGGCCTCCCCCGGGGGCGGGTCACGGCCCTGGCAGTCTGACACCTGGACAGACGCAGGCTCCCTGTGGCTGTGCCCACTGAAAAGGCTGTGAAGGAGGGCTCTCTGCAGAGCCCACGGGGGTCCCTCCGGCAGAGGCTGCTGCTGCCACCCCCCAGTGTCCCTTGCAAGGAAGCAAGGGGGGAGGGTGGCCCATGCGGTTGACCTTCCATTAAGGAGAAAACGGAATTGCAGGATGTGGGCAGCCTCCACCTGGTGGTCCCCCCGCCCTGGATCACATGGGGTGGGATGGCGCTCCCCGCCCTGGAGCCACGTGGGGTGGGATGGCGGCCCCCCCCCCCGCCCTGGAGCCACGTGGGGTGGGATGGCGCCCCCCCCCCGCCCTGGAGCCACGTGGGGTGGAATGGCGGCCACTGGCGGACGGTGACCTTTCTGATGACCAGGTGCTCCGGCTTCCCCTCTCCCTCCGGGACCAGCTTTGGGTCCAGCTGAAGCGCCAGTGCTTCTGGGGTCAGAGGGCGGTGTCCGGTCGGGATGGGGCAGGTGC